CTTTATAACTGCTAGTTTTTCCGTGTAGATTTAACTTTTTTTTTTTTTAAGATTTATGTAAATGTTAAATCTTGAAATGTATTTGATTGTAGAGATTTTCATGGAAGTGATACGTATAAAAAGAATATAAAAGTCCAGTCAGCATGGCATTCTCATGAAAGTTTTATGTGCTCGTATTGTATAGGACACAACTATTTAATATTCATAAAAGGGCTCCCAGGTCTTGAAAATCTAAATTTATTATTATTTTAGGCCAACTTTTACGACGCAAAACTGAACAAAGACATCGTTATACAGATTTTTAAAAAGTCCTTACAACACCTGTAACCTTTGTATGTTTGACAAGTTGTTATCATGAAAATTTAACTATTTTTGAATTCAAAGTACTTATGAATCTTGTTATTTCTGCTCCAGTGTTAAGATAATTTATGTAGGTGGAGAAACAAAAATATATTTCAGCAAAGAAACGAGTAGATGTGTGGATTTTGGGCTGTAATTCATGTGGCTAAAACTTCACCAATATTTGTAGTTAAAAGTACTTTTTGTATAGTGATTAGCAGTGTACTGTAAAAACAGTACAGTGCATATAATTAGGGCTCAGTACCTTTCTTTGTTTTAGCACAGAAGTTTGCATTATTAATTAAATCCTTGATTTGGCTTCTATTTTCAGTACAGTTATTTCATAATGTCCTACACAAAAAAACTACCACAAATGTTAACAGTAATTACTCATAGTTTGAGCTCACAAGAAGTCTTAACTCCAGAATAACTTTTTTTTAACTTTATTTTCTGAATGTTTTATGTGGCACGAGACTGAGATCATACTGCAGTAGACTGATTTGTATTGCAATTTTATATTTGTAGGAGCTTAAACGTGGGGTTTTAATAATTTGTTAGTTCATAGAAACTTCAAAAGTAATATTTTATGGTACTATGTATTAGTCATATGCTATTTTTAGCCCTTGTGACAGAGCAATGGATTTTTGAGCTGGTGATACCACAAAGTTTAAACAGTGGGTGCATTATGAGAGTGGCAGTCTGTCCCTTAATGTGGATGGTTGGGTGCTTCTGACTGGCCTTTTTGTTTCTCTCAATAATCATAAATATAAGCAAATATTTATGATATATTTTTTTGTTTAATGTAACTCATCATATTTAAATTATTCTGGAAGTCTGATGCTAATATCAAATTTCAATTATGTAAATTATATGTTGCAATAACAGCAAGACTAGCATTGGTGCTGCTCAAAAGTAGATTTTCAGGTCTATCATAAGGTACAGAGTTGTGCTTATAACTGTATGACTACTGTACATCTTTTCTGAGACAGGTCTTTAGTCATAAAACTTCAGTTTCCACATTAATCTTATATTCACTAACATTACCTCTAGTTATCAGTAAACATCAACAAACATTATCCTGCTGACTGGTATTTAGGTTAATAAAAAATGTGATAAAAAAAAAACTAGCCTTTTTTAAATACATAAGAATTGGCTATTTTATGATGCCATGAGAATCTACTACTGTATTCAAATTTAATGTTTACATTTATTTAAATGAACTTGTATTTCTAACAAACAGGTATGGAAGATAATATAATAGTATTTTGTTTTGGGATGGATTTAAAACTGGTTATGTTTTATGCTTTGTTTTTAGAGCTAACTACTTTGTGTACTCAGCTAGTTTTATGCTATAAAAAAAAAAGGCTGTAGTTATACCATGTTACTCCAGTTGTTTCACATTTTCTTCCAATTTGTAAACCTCATTTACAGCTCTAACTCTTTAACATGATTGGTGCTTAGGTACCTGTTTTGACATTCAGAGTTTGAAACACTGTAATTGTCAATAAAACAGTTTTATTATTTTTGTTTTTACCTTTTTCTAATTTTGTCATTTAATTGTTTTACTCGACCAGAATTAATTCTAAAAAATATCTATGGGTTTATAAGTGCATACTAACGAAGCAGCAGTTCGAAGAAGAGGATTTTACAGGTTTCAACTCCTCGTAGGCATTAGAGAGAAGGTGGTGAGTAGAAAATGGGGATGGGGGAGATAAAAAAAAAAAAGTAAATAGACTGTTTAATTTTACTTTCCTTAGTTATACCACAGCTATAGAGGAGCATAATCTTTCCCCTACCTCCAAATACTACTGTTGACATTGTTAAAAATCATAAAACAATGTACACAGTTTGTATTACATGCAAGAATCATGTTTTCTAAAACCCCCAAGTGTGGTGCTATGATATTGTAGTATAGGAGACATTTAAATGTGGTTATTAGATAGTTTTTCTAATTGCTCACTATCATACTTTAAAGGGGAGGGGACTCCTTATAGATAGTAGGGCACCCCTGGACTTGGGGATACTTTAGAAGTTTGGTTTGGGACTAGAGAAAGGAGATTTTTCTCAAATTGACAAAATTGTTTGCATCCGATTTTATAATTAAATTAATAAACTCATTGTTACACCCATACATCTGTACTCCCAGTGCAGATAAAGTTTCACTTGGGATTCTAAGTTGGTCAAAAATAAATGCCTGAAATATCTGTCAACTTTACAAAACTGCACTTTCAGTGCCTTCTTTTTAACAAATGTTCCCCAAAATGACTGCTTTACCTGTAAACGTAATAGATAAAAAGGTGAGATAAATTGCCACAAAAATTTTGATTTTAAAGAATTTATGTTTACTGTTTCTAATCTATTTCCTCACATTAGTGCAAGTACAAAAAATGGTATATGTTTTAAAAAACTAATGGTAATACAGAAATAACTACAAACTCAGTGTAATGAAATCAAACTTAACTACATAATAAAAAAATCTTGTTAAACACGTATATTATAAATGAGTTGCCCTTATAATAAGTCAAAAATAATGTTAAATTGTCATATAACTTTGTGTGGTGACTTTAAACACACTTTTATGCATTGTTTTTCATATTATTAGTTACACATCGAACAACCCTCTAAAAATTATACTTTTAACAAAACTGGATTTTATAAAGAAAGTCGCTATTTAATATAAAACAATGTCACTTAAAGGCAGGGCCAGATTAAGGTATGTAGAGGCAAATATCCTTATGGAGGCCCTTTCAAATATATAAAGCAGGGCCAGATTAAGGAATGTAGAGGCAAATATCCTTATGGAGGCCCTTTCAAATATGTAAATCAAGTATCGCAATATTCATAAATAATATAAACAAAATATTTGTGAGGGTCCTGAGGTAACTGCCTCATGGTTAATCAGGCACTGCTTGAAGGCGTGTTTGTATATATATGTGGTGCTATATATACAAATATTATTATTCCTTATACAAACCCAGCCTAATTTAAAAGGAAGACCCTAGTAGCAAAAATCAATATTTTTAACACTTACTCAATAATGGGAAGGATGTGATTATTTTATCTGGCACAACTGAAGAATATAGGTGCGTGTTTTCTGAAAATTTGGCACAAGAAAAAACTGATGAGCTTAAATTTGAGGAAAATAGTGTGTATTTGTATATGGGAAGCTCAGATTGGACTGATTACAGATTTTATCGTTTTTACATACCACCGACATTAGCTCCAAGTACTACCAGTAATACACATACTTTGAGATTCACTGTATTTTGACAATGTTAATGACTTTCAAACAGCTAATCAAAACTTATAAAAACATGTTTTAAGGTCTAACATGTTGGCTGCCATGTGCCCCACTGGTGAGTCATAACAGACTTTTTAGTTATGAACTGTGTGACACAGGCAGCTATGTTTCAAAGCCAAATTTCTCTCGTGGTGTACGAGTTTGAAACACTGTGACTGCTCCTCTACACCTTTTGAATGTATAATTTTATTTCAACTTAATCTATCATGTGGCAGTCAACATGTTATGAACAAAACTGAGTCACCTGCTGTTGCGTTTTGACCATGACCTAAATTGGTACTTTTTTAAAAAAAAAAATAACTGGAAAAAGATTTTCGGCATACAGAATTTTTTATTCAATGCAAAATATTATGAAGGTTGATGACAAAAATTAGTAAAGAAGTGATGCATGAATTACAAGTTTGTACAATTACTTATTCTGTTCCACTTCGTTAGTATATGACGTTCCTTGTTCCTGCTAAGGTGCTTTAAATACGACTTGAAGAACAGGCAACATTGCCACTGTATTGTGTTTATGCAAGATAAAATATATTTCAAAGTATCTAATTTAGTAAACCATCTGTCCCTTCTTCAACAGGTAACTAAATTCCTATAACCTCTATTATCAAACTTTTAATAAAAATAGTTTATTTGGAAGAATATGCTTTACATCACGTTAAGTTCGGCCAATATTATTGAACATTTGAGTACTGTTTTACTGGTATTTCATAACACAAAAATATTTCACTAAAAACAGTGTTTAGAGGTAAGGCAAATAGGACAATATAACTTTAAAAAAAATTTACATTCAATATCAAGTTATTTTGTGACACAATTCTATACAGCAGGAAAATAACATCATATAACTCAGATTTTGATTATATAACAATGCTTTGACAATCTTAGTCAAAAGCATTATCTTAACAATGGCAGACTTCCCACTCAAATCTTATAGTACGTAGATCGTGCTATAACAATACAGATTTTTGTAAGCTATTAAGCAACAAAAACTAGGTTTTCCAGCAAAGTGTTTTGGCTATAAATAACCTATACTACTCACATTAAACACAACCATGTTGAAAATAAAACAGTCCAGTGATCTAGATGCAAAGACAAGATTTCCAGATTTATACACTACTTATGTAAATTTGATGAAAATCAATTTGATTAAACTGTGACAAAAATATGGATTTTTATAGAGGAAGTGATAGGCCTGCAATGATCTTACAGCTCTTTGGCATTTTTTACATGTCTGGCTCACAAACTCCGACATTTTGACAATACTTAGCCAAGTCCAGTAGTTTGTTCGGCCATGCAGGAAATTGGGGGCAAACAAGAAGTTGCTGCATATTCTCGTGTAACTCGTATTTAAACAATAAGATTATCTTCCCGATCTCGCTTGAAATCACAATTCTCAGCAAGGTTTTCACAAGTAAATGGGTTTCATGTTATACACGATATCGTGAACGCAAATGTAGCTGTAAAACTCTGTGAAGGAGTAGACAAGCGTGTCTAAATGAATCCATACCACCCCCTTCTGACATTTACAGGGCATCTTTCTCAGTTTCTTCCCTTATTAACTTGATTGTACACACTGCTGAACCCAAAGTATTATGGTTATTAACAATACTGGATTAACATCAGTGAAGTAAATAACTACTATTAATGTTTATCCACGGTAAATTGTACAATTCCTAGCGTGTGTGTGTGTGAAGACTTTCAAAAAGTTAATCATCACACAAATATGTGAAACTATACTAAGATAACAAGCTTCAACAGGATTTGCATTCTTTATTACACAGTATAAAATAACAATGTTTATTAAAGAACTAAAAATGTACATTTAATCACCTGCCTTTTTAGTGATTTGGAGTGTGTATTACTGGAAAACTTCGGAATAAAATCGTTTCGCTTCAAATGAATTTTCAACTCGTTATTTAAGAAAATACAGCTGACTGAAAGCTTAAAAAAAATTACACCAGTAACCTTACACAGAAAACTTATATTAGTTATAATGCAGAAAACCCATATTCTCATGAGTTCATTATTACATTGTGATAGAATGGAACGGTTTTTAAACAGATTTTGGTAACTCGGATGTGGGAAGAGTTTCTAAAAAGGTATACAAACCTGTACTGGCAGTTTTAGCCAGAACAAAACCAAGAGTAAAAGTATTGATAAAACAAACAACCCAATAACACTTGAACTTGGTTTATCTGACCTCTTTTTTTTTTTTTCATTTCATACCGGGGTCATTTTTTTTTAAATATTTGCCTGGCCTTACAGTGATTTATTACACAAGCCTACTACCAGTGATTATTGGGTGTTGCCAAAGTTGGAGGGAAAGATCTGTTTGTGAAAGTTTCAGTACTAGCAAAATTTGTTCCCACCCATGATAATAACAACAGAAAAAAATATTACAGCTTCAATATCTGATATAATAGTTAATCAATTTATCAACGAGTGTTTGCAAAAACAAACTAAGTGATTTTTTTACTTATAACCATAGAGATCCGAGTAGCAAATGGTGCATTTCATACTTAATTTTCCAATCTTAGGAAAACTTCAAAATACAGCATCAATATTTGTTACACTGGGACGAGCATTGGCCGCTCTCTGTAGGTCCCCCTTTTCTTTCAACTTAGCTTGTAACAGTGTGTGCAGAGCCACTCCAATCCGAACATCCATCTGGCTGATCTCTGTCTTCAATCGGATAAGGGCCTTTCGTATGTTTACAAGAGGAGCTGTTAAAAAAATAAGGTTGCTAAGAAACAAAGAGAGTTGAACCAGTATACAAATACCTAATATATCGTAAATTATTTAAATGAATGATGATTTTCCAAATATTTATCTTAACCTCTTTGCACAATATAAGTACTACCCAATAAGTAGTTTATTGCCCAAGATCAAGTTTGTGCTTAGAATATTATCAAAGACGTTGGTCATGTAATAACTATTAAAAGTATATAACTTGTAGCTTGGCAACAAACGGTACCAAATCCTAATCTTAAGTCTTAGGTTCCATAAAGTGAAACATGTCAAACAATAAAACAGTTCATTATAGTCATCTCACATCAAAACCAGATACAGTAAACAATATCACAAATAAAATCCAGTTTGCTGTGTGTCACCTTCATCATTCAATAATATCAAAATGCTTTAATAATTATGTTCCATACAGAGTTATCTGTCATGTGTTATAAAAATATCCTTCAATAAACCTTTTGTCAACTGCAGATATTGAAATAATGTTCTCAAAATCCAATTTTCTATGTATAAAACCTCTTTCCCCCTCAAACGGTGATGTGGATGTTAGATGCTGTAATTCTTACATTCGACAGTGTAGTCTGTTATGTACTTAAAGGAGACGACTCTACTACAGTCATGTCAAACTGTTCCATGGATGGTTGCTTTCTGCCACACAGTAAAAAGGTAAAGATGTCCTTATTGGTGATGTTGAAAAAAAGAAATTTAAAAATACAGTTTTTGTCAGTATGTTCAAAACTTCTGCTGCATGAATTGTGTGAATTTGTTTTTAAATCATTTGAATATATTTTATTTTTATGTGGATAAGCATGAAAACTGTTTGCACAAACTGTATAAACTTGGAATATAGAATAATTTTCTTTTAATGATATTAAAACACAAATGTTATCCAATATTTTAATGTAAGCAGAACTAAAACAAAAGCTACTTTTTATAAAATTCTATGTAACCCAAACAATTCAATTGGCAACAGAGGCTCAGTATAACTTTGGCATCTGAGCAAAAGACTGTCAAAATTTCTTTAGTGTGTGAGAATCAGGAATGTGGTGACTGTCGTTCTGTGAGACACGAGCAGAAGTAATTCAGTTAAAAAGTAAAAATTAATACAAGCCTAAATGAAGATTTTATCTAAAAGAAAACATTATTTTAAAACAGAATAAAGTTTCCATTCAGACTTATCCATTACCACTTTTTTAACATTATAAGATACAGTTGCAAACGCAACCAAGAAATGATTTAAATTCATTCATGAAATCATGCTTGAAAGACTTGTTTATCACATGTAAAATGTACAGACCTTGCGATGTCGAACAAATCACCTAACAATGATGATGATCATTAGTGAACTGCTTAATGCTGCTAATATCAATGTGTAATGTCTGGTATTCTCCCTATTCTTAGTTTCTTGTAATTACTTTGGGGAGCTCTAGTTTTTTTTTAATCTTGCCACATTTAGAATGAAACAAAAATTTTGTTTAAAGTCTCAAGTTCAAGTTAATCTAAACGAGTTTATGGAAAACAACTCTTACTTCCATCTGTCATACTTGATCCTCTCTCATCCATTTCTTGTTTGATCTGGTCTAGTTCTTCTGTTATCTAGTGAATGGAGATAAATACTCATGTTTATAAAAAAAAAAGTTTTTTCCTAAAAAATTAAGGAAATACGAGAGGTTTCTTTAGACTTAAGAAAAACTCGTAACTTGAGAATATTACCACTCCTGGCAGCTGATCACATGATTATGTACAATGACTTCAAATAATTTTCATAATTTCAGTTATCAATATTGACATTATGATCAGCATATCATACAAAACATGTAGCCTTTCAGTAGGGTTACGTGGCATTAACAAACACCTGAAAGTGTCATCCTGACAATCATATCCTGATTTCACTACTAAAACTGTTTCTGGTGTCAACAGTATACACATACACTGATGTGATCACTAGAGCTGTTTACTGGTACAACAACACACCTATCAACTGGTATTACCACAATACTAGTTCCTGGTATCATAATTATAACAACTGACTAGTATTAACATTATCACAGGTGTCACAAACATAATTATTCACTGGTGTCATGACTACAACCATCACCCACATCACTATCCATTGGTGTTTACACCATAATCACTCACTGGTGTCATCAGTATAACCAATAGTACCACCATTAAAAATTTATGTCACTACTACAACCACTCACTAGAGAACTATCTACTGGTGTCACTATACAACTATTCACTGGTGTCAACAAAAGAACCATCTACTGGTGTCACTATACAACCACTCACTGGTGTCAACAACAGAATCATCTACTTGTGTTACTACAATAACCATTCACTGGTGTCACTATACAACCACTCACTGGTGTCAACAACAGAACCATCTACTTGTGTTACTACTACAACCATTCACTGGTGTCACTATACAACCACTCACTGGTATCAACAACAGAACCATCTACTTGTGTTACTACTACAACCATTCACTGGTGTCAACAACAGAATCATCTACTTGTGTTACTACTACAACCATTCACTGGTGTCAACAACAGAACCATCTCTACTGGTGTTGCTACTACAACCATTCACTAATGTCAACAACAGAACCATCTACTGGTGTTACTACTACAACCATTCACTGTTATCAAATAGAACCATCTACTGGTGTCACTATACAACCATTCACTGGTATCAACAACAGAACCATCTACTTGTGTTACTACTACAACCATTCACTGGTATCAACAACAGAACAATCTACTTGTGTTACTACTACAACCATTCACTGGTGTCAACAACAGAATCATCTATTGGTGTTACTACTACAACCAATCACTGATATTACCACTACAACCAATCACAGATGTCACCACTCCAATCACCCACTATGATTAACAGCATAACAATCAACTGGGGACAACACAACAACCATCCATGTTTATGTTACTTTTTAAATATATATTTCAATGAAACAAGCTGAACCATCTATTAAAAAGGATTAGTGGTTGGTCTCTCAAATTCAAAATAACAGAAAACTTAATTTTGAAAAAACCACTGTGAAGTTTAACTACACTGTTCAACGTTCAAACTAGCCAATATCCTTCTTCACAGATAATGAAATATTTTAGTAGTAAGAAATACAAACCTACATTATGAAAACATTTAATGACCACATGGAGTGACGAGACTAAATGCTGCTAGTGTTTTTAAAGTTATTGTGACACCTATAAAAAAAAGTATGTAATCTTCTTTAAAAGAAGTTTAGGTATTTTTGGCTAAGATATTCTACATGATTGCATTTTGTCTTACAACTTCTAATAACATGTAAACAAATATATAATTTTCTCTTTGCTGCTGGCAGTCTAATTGAAATAAGGAGTTCTTGTCTTAAAAAAAAATCTCATAGGCAGCAGATTATCTAACTCAAAGCTTTATTTATGTATTTTATGATTGAAAAATCAATATTGAGCCAAGTAATATTGTAAATATCATTTTTTTTTAAATACTAAACTACTGAATTAAGTAGTTGCAATCTTTGTTGCTCCACCTTGAAAAATAAATGAGAAAAAAAACCTATTTCAAAAAATTGGAATAAGCACAAAAGAAATTAAACATATTTCAAGGTTCCTTTATTGTTTTGTAATATTTAAGAAAATATATACAGATATACAAAAAAATATTTTACCCTACCTGTGCTAATGTGCGAGACCTTTCAGTGACTCCACCACTCACAGACCGGTACTGTTCTTTGGACTGTGCTAATTGATCTTGTACACTCCTGTACTCCATCAGCAGCTGTTCTAACTGACTGTTAACATATTTTTCTCTACTACTTATCTTTTCTAACGTATGACTAATATCAGAGTAAAGTTTATCCAACTGGTTCTTTGTGACAGAGAGACTTTCATCGATATCTTTTCGATGATTGTGCATCTGTTCCAAGTGGCTCCTCCAGTCCTTAAATATATCTTAAGTTTTACTCTATTCAACTGTACTGTTTGACTTATAAAAACTTTCACACAAAATAGCATGCAAGTAATCCTCATCAACTTAATTCCAATTTGTCAAGATTGAACTTTCAAAACAGTAACAGATTTCTATCTTTTATAGAAAAAACCTTTCAAGCTAAATGTAATTCCTATTATTGTTGGCTAACTCAATCCCCAAGTAAGACCTATTCTATTATGGCTAAATGTTTTCTAGTAGTACTAAATTAACACTATTCCTTACAGAAGATGTTAACATGTTATCAAACAAAAAAATAATAACTTTTCAGAGAAGATTTATGGTTCAAAGTTAAAACTACTGTTTTTATCACTGTTCCTAAAACTACACTTTCACTAGAATTGAGTCAGTAGCATATAAAACAGCTCATCCTTTCTATTAGGATGAACATATTTAACTCTCTCACAATGAAGTCAATCGATTTGATCAACCTCGAAACCATTTTGTTCTTGTTATAGTTTCCATATTATAACTTTTAATACATTCGGTGTATCTTTACAAAAATGGGCAGACTTTTAGTAAAAATTTCGTACACAAAAAATAAATCTCTTAATGAAGTATTTTTACTAAAGATTTGTTCATGAATATATAGTATTTTTATATACTAGTTCGAATGCTAAGTCATTTTCATGTTAAGATTAAAAATACTTTTCATCTCAAAAACCTCATAATTTATTTGCATAATCTCTTAAACCTCCTATATAAATTTCAAACATTTTTACAAGTAAAACTTTATATTTTATCTATTATTTTCACTACCTTAACCTTATACGAGGTTGGTCAAATTGACCAACCTCGTAACTACCAAAAAAATCTAAATTACCCTTTTTTCTTTCTAGAATGACTTCAAATTATAACATAAAACTACATTTGTTTATCCTACATAGCTTTACACTCATAACAGTGTACATCTATTTATACTTAAATTTTATTGTTTTCTTGCCCTTTAAACCCAGTCTAAATGCTATTGGTGCCATTAGAAGTTGTAAATCACTTGGTGAATACGCATCTCACATTACACTAATGAATTACGTTACACATGAACCTCTTGAAAAATGTTATTATATTATATATATATTTCACCTAATCTAACCTTAACTAACATAAAAAGTTTTCTATTTTTACATCTTAGTTACTTTTATACTAATGAATAAAGAATACACATGAAAAACAAGAAAAAAGTACTTACTTGGTCTATTTTTTTTTGCCTTCGACTATCGATGATACTTAACCGTACTGTTTTGTACTATGGTAGTATTGCACTAAAAACATTTTTTATTTAATTAAATAATGCACCAAAGAATACACAATAATAAAGTGCAAAAAAGCAGATAATGTCCCATAACTATCACAATTTTCCTGGCTTTCTAACTACGCAACAAGAGCCATTAAAACTTCATCTAAGCACGTTGATGTGTGTTTCCCATGGGAATGAAGCTTGAACTGTAAATGAAATTGACAATTCGCTTTACGGAAAACAATCCAATATAATATGTCATTTGATAGACGAAAACCTTGGCTTTCTATTGGTTATAAATAATATAGTATGGAATGGCAGAGAGAACTATTGGTAGTTTCTTAAAGAGAGGATGTGACAAGTGGGCATGACAGGAAGGGTCTGGTTGTATATTTGATGGCTCTGTAACCAAATAAGATTTAAGGCTATAAAAATTATGCATTGCCTGAGTGATGACAATATTATAATAAGTAATTTGCATTAAATTTCTTACTTCTTGGAGGGATGATAAATAAATTAGAGAGGATGTGATGCCTGGAGAGCAAATGTCACAATTCTCATACTGGGGAAAATTATAGATTTTTTTTTTTATATTTCCTTATAAAAGTCAGAACTTAAAACTTATATACTATTAAAATATGGATTATTAGCTAGGTTCTTTATGCTATATTTATTGGTAAACCATGAAAATAAAATTAGTTTAATTACATTTTGAATGTAACTCATTAAATCCTGGCATGCACAGAAAAAAACGTGCCTGTGGAGAGAGGGGTAAATTAAGACATCCAACCCTAAGTAGCAAGTCATATAATCTTAGCTGTTTATTAAGAGCAATACAAAAACCTGATCGGACTGATTTTGTGCACAAGACAATAAATATGCTTTGAACTTTATCAATATTTTCTTCCGTCAAAAACAAAAAAGCACAAACTTATTGATAATAGGAGCATCCATCAAAACAAAGTGTTCTTTAAAAGAACGTCTAGCAACAATAAAATAAGACCAAGCTTTAATAGGTTTTTGGAAAGTTGCTAATTGTTTGCTAGAAAGAAATACAAGTACAAATAAAACAAATCATAAAATGCACAACAAGCTTAACCTATCATTTCAGTTTAACAAGTGAAAAAGTAACGTATGTTACATACTTTGGTGTCAGAACGAACAGTAACTTTTAGCTGAGGAAGAACTCTTTCAACTTCAAGCTTCCATTCAGCTGAATCTGTAGTGGATTCCATGATTTCTTCTGGTTTGGCAATTTCATCATTTAACTGTTAAAAGCAAATCAGTTTTGACAATTTATTTAAATATCTGGTAAACAACTAGACATTCTTTTCTTGGGTTTAATTTATGATGCATAAAAATAACAATAAAAACAGATAAAGTTGGTGCAGTTTCCATAACATTACTGCAGTCATTTGTTTAAGCATTTTACACAGAAACATTACTTATATTTAAAACAAAGCTGTGATGGAAAATTTAGGCACCTATTAAGTTTATCAATCCTACCATTATTCATTGTTTAACTTCATTATTACTAGATTCATGATTAATTTAACTGACAATGAAATTAATCCATCTGTGAGTAGTCATTTGATAAACGTGTGGGAAAAAAAAGGGACAGAGAAACTACTACAAACTAAACTGTTGCTTCAATTAAATTTTCTTTAGCATCACACTGTGAGAACTTTGCTCTGATTGGGAAAGGTTTAGTAATGAGTAATGTATTAAAACGTTGACCGTAAGAAAGAACAAAAATATGTAGCACTTTCGGTAGTTTTTTACATAAACCTCGGAATGTCCGTAACAAAACACATGACACAAGGCTTCTCTCAAAATTAATAATGCAGAATAATAAACAAAACAGTAGTCACTTAAAGCATTTCAAAATTCTAAACATGGCTATCATTAATGTTGGACAAATTAAATCATGCACGGTCCAAAATATGTTTAGCATATTTACGTGCTTACAGATAGTACGAGAATACTATATTAATTATATCTTAATGAGAAATCTCATAAAAATAATTAATTCAAGAGCTCTATTTACATACATGTTTCTTTGTATCCTGTTTGATTACACCATAGTATTCAAAGTGACAATAAGGATAACCCAAAAGTTGAACAATGAACAAAAAGTATTGGAAATAAATGTGGAAACAGAAAACAGTGGGTAGATAATGAAAATTATATTAAGTAAATATGCACAAACATAAACGCATCGTGACATAAAATATGCAAAGTCAAATGAATACATTGTGCAGAACATTAATATTTGCTACACGAGCCCTCTGCTTTATAGAGCTTGAGATCATGCTTTCATGCTCCCATATAGTTTATCAGCGAAAGACTGTGAAGTGTTGTTCCAATATTCTGTAACACTTTCCATTATTCGTCCAAGTTGCTTGGTTGATATTCAACTTTCTCAGCATCCACATAACCCCACATGGCTTTGATAATGTTCACATTAGGACTTAGTGAAGGCCACATTTTTGTGAGTGTTCCATTAGTCTACTTACATTCCAAATAGGTCTTCACTACATTGGCTGTATGCTTGGGGTCACTGTTATGTAGAAGGAATGGCATGGTGGGTCAAAACCTGCCTGTACCTGTCGGCAGTTTGGGTACCTTCAATTTTATGTAAGTCCCCTTGACCAAGATACAGCCTTACAACTGTATTGATCCACCCTCATACATTATTGAAAAGGTTGTACACACTGACTGTTATACCGCTTTCCAGTCTGCCTTTGAACAAACTGTTGTTGATTACTGCCAAACAGAACAAACTTAGACTTCTCTTTAGAGTACTTTTTTACAGGTTTAAACATCCCATTGTTTTATTTCTGATGCCCATCTCAATTTTATTGTTGTTTTGCCTCTTCTCAGCAATGGGTTTTGAGCAGCTACACACCCATCGAGATCATTTTGAGCTAATGTGTAACATACTATTCTTGAAGAACCTTTAACACCTGTACTTGTAGAAATGTCATTCGCAAGTTCTCTGCTGGATTGTTGACTACCATTCAGAGAATTTACCCTCAGGAACTTTACATCACATTGGGATAGTTTGGGTTTTTTCCTTGACTACTTCTATTGTCAAGTGTACCATTTTAACAAGCCCAGAGGCCAGGAATTGCATCTGTTAATGGAAGGGCATTTGGATTGAATCAAAAAAGATTCTTTAAATTTTCTATCAAGAAAGTTGTCGCAAACCTCTAAAATTCTAATCCAATAAGATGTCTTGTTAAATATGCCATTTGCGTTGATGTAATGTTCAGTGGCGGCTTCTTTGTTGTCAAGATATGTAGTTCTTTGAAATGATCATGCATTGGATGATTGGATTCACCTAAGTATATGGCTGAACACTGTGTACATGTCATTTCGTTGACAGTGTTCCTAAGTGTGCAGGATGTCTCTAAGCCATTGGTCTTAGCAAAGCACTTTTTGGATTTGCATGGATTGTTGTTATTGAAGGTTGAACAAGTAAGTATATCCTTCAGTTTTTTACTAGGTTTTTGTAAGATGTGGATATTCAAACCAGATGTTCTAATTGCTTGACAAAAGACAAGCACTTAAAGGTTTATCCACGAAGGATATAATCCATGAGACAGTGTTTTGATGTGGTGGTTTCTTTTTTTTTGCTGTCATTTGTTAAAATCTTGTGTGTCAAAACTGACAGAAAATTTAAAGAATCTCTTTTGACTCGATCCAAATGCTCTTCCATTAACAGATATAATTCCTGGCTCCTATAATACTATTATTATTATTTATTTATATTTTTTAAACATTAATGATCAGCGACTCTAACCTGTTCAACAATACTTTTAGTACGTTTCACCATACACCATTCCATTATATTACTGTATATTTATATTCTTTTTTAGTTACTACAATTTAAAATCAGTTTTGTCATTCACAGACCCTAGAAAAAAGGGGTAACCCTAAACATATGGTAGAATAAATAAACTTTTATCTGAAGTTGTTTGTCATCTTCATTGACAATGGCTTCCGTCCTTCAGTCAACATTGAAAGTTATAAAAACATTATTAATCTATCATGTGTAATTTGCAGTGTACACCCACTTTATCCTCTGTTTCCATAAATATTTCCAACAGTGTATACTTTGAATGGACAAGTAATTTATTTGGACTAGCAACACTTTTTTTTTTAGTTCTTTTGATGCACAATCTATCGACTCAATTACCTAAGCCTGTAGAAGGCTTAGGTAATTGAGCCGAAAGATTGTGCAACTAAAAAAAACTAAAAAATCTTTACTTAATATATCTCTTTCTATACTCAAGTTATCAATTTTCAATAATTTGTCTTCTAACATAAATTTTCAATTAACATTTTACCAAGAACTAAGACAAATAATAATATTGATAATAGTTTTTAAGGAAATACAAAAATAAATTGCCATCTTACCAATTTTATTTCAATTTTTTTTAATAACAGTATTAATCTCCATTCTCATTTTATGGAAATGAATATGTCACCTAAAAGTAGTTTAGTAATTACAGTGTAGTGTAACAATCACATACACAAGAAGTCAGGAAGTTTATAACCTGTAAAACATATTAATAGATTTGTCTTTTAGATTTACAGCATTATAATGAAAGACAAAAGCTTAATATACATATAAAATAAATAGAAAATAATTAATTTTTTAATAGATCCACAGTTAAAATCTCCTACACTCCATGATAAAAAAAAGTACATAAACTAAATTTCACACAAAAAAAAACTTACAGGTCTACCAGATGATATAGTTTTAAGAGTTTCCAGATCCATGATTGTTCCTTCTTCATCATCATCTTCGTCTTCCTATAAGCATTATAACATTATTGTTTGTTCACAAAGATCACGAATAGTAGCATAATCTAGTATCAACAAATTAAGTGTTTTTTTACACTGTATATGGTTTACTTGTAGAAAGAGTGTTTCTGTTTTTTTTTGGCAAATTCTGTCAAAGGTTAAAAATAATTTGAAGATGATCCATGTACATAAAGTTATAATTGCGACTTTTTTGCTGCTAAAGGATTGAAAAACTAAAGGTTTTTTACTACTCACTCCTATGATTTCCTCCTCAAAATTTTCTGACGTAACTTCAAGGGTTTCTTCCACAGCACATTCTCCTTCTTCAGTTTCTTCTGGATAGATAGGCCTAGAGATACCAAATATTTCATAACTAATAAATTAAATTTCATATAACACAGTAGTTGAAATACAATACTTGGGATTTTGTTTAACAGAGTATTTCTAGCAGAAATTATTTGAGGTACTTAAATGATCAAAGAAAAAAAAAGATCACTATCTTTCCGATTATCCTTTTACATCATCGTCAAACCTTACATATGACTTTGAAAATTATTATTACAACTTAAACAGTTTTTTTAAATATTAATATAGTAATAAACACCGGAATGATCATGCATCAAAACGTTCTTCAAATTATTTGAAATATTAATTTCAAGTATATATATTAAAAAATATTCCTTTCATACAAAATTCAAATGGACTTCGTAATACATTGTGATACAAAAAAAAAACAATTGTCTTTAAG